TCTTGAAGAACATCGCTGGTGACAAGTACATACAAGAAGATCTTCTAGGGCTAAAATTCCAGATTTCCCCCCATGCTTTTTTCCAGGTAATTTCTCATGATCCTGTGCTCAAACCTGGTCTTGCAGTTGGAAGCACTGGACGGGCTGTGTTTTTGAACTGAAGCCCTAGGAAAATGGAGAGGGTGTCCACTCCTCCCTGTATTTCCCCCATAAAAATGAGGACAGGAATTTGTGTCGGGATCAACTGTAAACCTCCCAGTACATTAAAACTTTAACGAGTAAAATTATACAAGCTAATAAACAGGTGTTAAAGAAGAAGTAAAATAAGAGGCATGCATTGATTCTGCCCTGTCTTGTTGCTCTGAGACTCCTTGTGTTAATTTTAATTAAAAAAAAAAAATCAAACTGAAAATTCAGACCCCTGTGCCATGCTTGCAAGATTCCAATTGTGTTCATCACCCCAAGAATGTTAGGGAACCTGGCATATTGTATGAATTCCCTTGAAAATAAAAATATCTTTGAAAGTCACTCCAATGACTTTTATTTACACTATTTACTAGATGATTGCGATAACGTTTTTTTTAAGTGTAGGAAAATTGTGTTATATTATGTAACATCCACCTACAGATGGTCCAGTTAATGTAGTTTAAGTGCTTATTAAATGCAGTCCGTGACTTTATCAATACAGTTCACTTATCCATAATCATTAGAGCCATTAGACTGATTACGCCCATAAATTTGCACGATTAGCCTTTTTAGCTCTTTAGCCTTTTAAGTTACTGACATCCCTTTAATACGCTTACTTTATATCGTACTACTATAGTTCTTACAGTTGCATTATTAATATTAAATGTAGTTTACCTGTAGATTTAAAGGATAAAGTGAGTTTATATTTCACTTCAGCTACTTTTGTTTAACTTTCATTATTATCCTGTAGTTTTATCCAAATTACGTGAATCTCTATTCTGTTTCTTCTTTATAATCTTAATCTTAAAATAGTCATTCGATTGGTATTATCTTATAATCTGTGCTAGCCATTTAAATTTTAGTAATTTCTTATGGTAGATAGATCAGATAGATCAATTTTTATTATGGTCATAGACCAAAAAAAAAAAAAAAAGTCCTATCATTTCATTGTTTCTATGATCCAAACGTGGTTTTGGTTTTCACTCCTTTCAATACGCAAGTCTGTGTGAAGTTTTTCACTGTAGATTAATTTGTTATTCCAGTTTGAAGGCAAGTCTTACTTCATCCCAGAGACTTTTGCCTCTGGTTTAGTTCCCTGCTTGTTAGATGAGATAATACAGTAATAATGTTGGACTTCATAGGTAAACACCAAAGCGGCCGAGGTTCTGTATTCTGCCATTCGGGACTGGGCTGAGATCAACCAGGACACCACAGTGCTGGACGTTTGCTGTGGAACTGGATCCATTGGCATTTCTCTTGCTCAGGTGAAAGAACAGGTTTGCTTGCTGTTTCCATGGGGAAGGGGGAGACAGCGACACCACAACCCCCAGTCGTAGTTGTCCAAGGGCTGTGTGGAGACTGAATCCAACCGACCCATGCAACTAATACTCAAAACATGAATTTTAATTCACATCAGTCAAAATAATGACAGCACTGCAAAGGGGGCTCTCTTAAGGCATCACTGATGCAAATTGGCCTGTAATTGCGTTTAAAGCAGTTGCATTTTTTTTTAAATAACGGCACTACAGCGAAGGGGGAAGAGTCAGATGCAGAACTTGTATGTCCAGTAGCTGTTGAGTTACCAACACTGCTAAGAAGCTACAAGAGGGCAGAATATTCAGCTTGCGGGCAACAGATTTTGCCTGTTAGGTTTATAATAGGCAAAGCATTAACCATAGTTACTCCCTTTTATCTTGTAGAAAGTGAAAAAAGTTATTGGAGTTGAACTTTGTCAAGAAGCTGTTGAAGATGCCAAAGCAAATGCCCAGCTTAATGGTTGGTAAAATAAATCTTGAGTCCCCTAGTACATTTTTATCAGCTTTCCAAAGATTTCTGTTAGAACCAAATGCAAGAATGATATTTTGTTCTTACTTTGACTAAAGCGCTCCAAAATTTTATCATTGATAGTTAAGAAAAAAGGATTTCAAGGCCCCGATGTTGTAATACTTTTTTTTTTTAAAGTGGTGATAGATACAAATAGCTTTTTTTTTTTTTTTTTTGCAAAGGAAGATAAATTTAAGGACAGATTTACAGCCATAATGGCAAATCAACAAAACAGCTTGATAGTTGTGAAGTTAAAGCAAGTTTTAAGTTCTGCCAGTTGCTGGAATAGGTGGAAGCGTGGAAATGCCATGTGAAATTTTCAAACTTCTTCATGCAGAGAGAGAAAAATATTTAGGACAACCGGAAGGAAAAATGGGGTTAACCCCTAAAGCCTGTACCATTATTATACTGTTTTTGAATTATCCCTGCTGTTCCTAGTGTTGCCTGCTTTTGCAGTGGCTCTCCTGTGTATTCTTCGCAAATAGTTAAAACTGTACCTGCGGTTACTCTATCGCCACGTTCACAAGAGAGATGCATTTGTAAGACACATACAGTACGCAAACTGGTGGATGTGCAAATGCTTCTTGATGAGGAATTCTGGTGGGGGTATATGATATTTTTTTTATGCTAAGATATTAACAAAAATGCAAAAATAAGGGTTTTTTCCCCCCCTTCAGGGCTGATGAATGTTGAATTCCACTGGGGAAAGGCTGAAGAACTTGTTCCTCACCTGGTTAACACATTAGCACTGCATAATACAATTACAATTGTGGATCCTCCCCGAGCAGGGCTACGTAAGTGGGGGGCTTGGTGGCATTTAAGTAGAATTTTAAGTTTACAGAGAGTTGTACATGGAGCAGTAGGACAAGAAGGAATATGCCCTGAGAAGAAAAACAGAGCAGCCCAAATGCTTCTTTGCCTATAGGTTATCTAGCAACTCTGCCGGCTTTCTGCTCCATGTGGCCAGAAAAGTCTTCTCATTTGCCTCTTATTTCTTTTTGGGGGGGGGAAAGATGCAAAATTTGCCTTTGAGTTTTGGTGATGAGATATAAATAGGCTGCAAAGTGGGTTAGGGTAACTTTGAAAAAAGGAAAGTTAAGCCTTAATTTTCCTGGTGAAAAGGGATAGTCGGCTGCAGAATTACTATAAGCCTTTTCCTACTTTCCCTTGAAACTATTAACACCGGTTACAGTTGGGTAATATGGCCGTTTACATTCCTCTATCCTTAGTTACTGTCATTTTGTTTGCATACTGCTTTTTCTCTCAAAGGGAAGACATATTGTTGTTTTCTTGAAGTTGTTCTGGCGGTCAAAAGCCTTATTCTAATGTTTACCCAAACATAATTTTCTAGATTCCAAAGTAATTCTCGCAATCCGAAAAGCTGAACACTTGAAAAAGCTCCTTTATGTGTCTTGCAACCCTCGAGCTGCTATGAACAACTTTGTGGAGTGAGTGCACAAATGACGTTAATTTTTCAGAAAGTCTGATTGGGCCGTTCACTTGCCATGAGTGCAAGGATCCTTACGTGGCCATGGGCCAACACTGATTCATGTTAGTCTCCCATGGATGTGTAGAATTGAAGCCAGCCAGCCCACCCAGCAATGGGGGGCATGGGGGGAGAAGCAACCTCAGGTTATAAAATAGAAGGATGAAGACTCATACTGTCTTTCCTCTCTGACAGCCTTTGTCGAGCACCTTCTCATCGTGTCAAAGGGAGTCCTTTCCGGGTTACCAAAGCAGAGGCGGTGGACCTCTTTCCCCACACTATGCACTGCGAGATGCTCTTCTTCTTTGAAAGAATCGAGTACTCAAACAGTAAAGCAAGTGACACCTCCACAGGCTCGGTGGAAATTCCAGCTGTGACATCAGAAGTGGCAACTTCTGCTGAGGTCGACACCACAGGCTCCCCCAAAGAGTAGCCGTGGAATGTCCCAGCTAGTGATTCTGACTGACCACCAAGCACAGAAGGAACCTGCTGTTTTACTTCCTAATCTTAAAAGTGTCTGCTGCTTTTTCCCCCTCCCTTCATTGCGGTCTTCCCAGCCAACTGCTGCTTCCGATTCAAAAACATACCAGGTTGAAGTACGTCAACAGTTCAAGGGGACTGGCAGAAGCAAACGCCTAAACGGTGAAAGGGGAGTCTTGTATACCAAGGCAAACCAACCAGTAAACAATTGAAACCATTGGGTGCGTCTGTGTTGTAACTTTCGGCACCCCAAAGGTATGATGAAGTTGTACCTCAGCCATAATACAGTACCCAAAGCGACAGCCTGTTAGTGCTCTTTTTTTTACAAGGACAAGTCTTAGAGGTCCCGGCCAAAAACCACAATGCCACCTCAGGACAGACTCCTCCAGCGCTGAGTGCATGCTGCAACACGCCTATGAGCTGTGATGGCTTTTGTTTTAGGGCACACTAAAGGTCCGCTGGTTACACTGCCAGTGGTAGAATAATGTTCTTAAGACCTAGACACTGGTTACCTGGCAGGTTCCAGGCTAAATTTCAAAGAGCTGGCTGTTACATTTAAACCAGTCATAGCCCCCGTAATCTTTAGTAAGTATTCTCTGGAGTCTACAATGGTTAGAAAATGTTATCCTGTACCTTCTTCCTATGGAAGAAGTGGGAGCTATTCCTGGAAAAAGGAAGCAGCAGCAGCAGCTACCTGTCTTTATGAGCTGTTTAAAATGACTGATGTCTGCTATGTTAAATACCGAATCCCCTCTCTTTAATGTGGTTCAAAAAAATCTCAAAAAGACAGCACCTCCAAAATAGTTAAACAGGAAATACCTTAAGAGGACTTCCCCCGCCCCCCACACGCAGGAGTATTTCATAAAACATCTAAATGCACTTTTATTTAACTCTTCACTCACATACAAAATGCACAGATCGGAGAAAATTTGCTCTGCCAGTCACACGACCGTTCTAGATAGAAAATTGGATTGCAATAGCTTCTCCTGGAGATACAACTTAAAAAAAAGCCTAAAGACTTACGACGGGCAGTATCAGATAATCATAAACTCTTACATAATATCAAACTTTATTGCTGAAACTAATATTTGGAGAAAACACACAAGTAACTCAAAAGACGTAACACAGAGGCTCAATGAATGAGACTTTATAAGGGAACCAACTGACCACTTACAATTCATACAGCACCCAGTAACATTGAGTTGGTCACATTCATTTTCAAAATACAATACTGTAATTAATCACTGCAAGTTGTTCCAAAGGACTGACGGAGCAGCTTAACATTTGGAACGCCCCACTGACATTACAGGGAATTATTTCAGTTTTCACCATAACCCAGAATACAGATTAGTATAAGATGGAAAAAGCTAGAATGAAATACTTCTGCAAGTGTGAGAACTGTTAGAACAAGTGTGTAGAGATCTGTTTCCAGCGGTCAAGAATCCAAGTAACTGGACTGTTAAAATTTTAGCTGAGTTATAAATGGATGGCTTCTGACCTCTTTTCTGTATCCACTATTAAATTATTTGACCAATTACTACCATTTAAACAGTTTTCTCACATTTCTCAAGGAAAGAATAAAATGCAAGAAATTCTTGAAGGATGGTGCAATGAAAGGCCCATCCAGAGCAATATACTGATTTAATGAGGGTAAAAGGTGGGGGGGGGGAGAAGAAGAGAACAACTATAATTTTAGGCCTTGCTAAAACTAAAATCCCAAGAAGGAAGTAATTAGAAAAACCACGAGTTATAAGGGCTGTGAAAAAAAGTTCTCAATGTCTTGAATCACACTGCACAAGTATCCATGCAGAAGCTGGAATGAATGCAAGGATCTATCACAGCAGCTTGTGCTTCAGGGCAAACACAAGACCATTTACGCTTCAAACTATAGTAAACATCGGAAATGACGAGAAATACTTCACAGTGACCACAGTAATTACATGGTTTGTTCCAGCTGTTATTGCGCTTTGTGGGAACGTCTTGCTGAACAGGCTGCAGCACTTTTATTTTTTTAAATAATGCATAATTTCTTGTATTAGCCTTTGGTTTACAATGACACCTCTGGATGGTTTTAAGGGCGGCTGTCACCTCTTATCAATTCGGATACCGACAGGTAAGGCTAAAGCCAGAGAGACTCAACCTGGCAAAACCCTTCTGGAAGGAGGCATCTGTGATACTCGGCAGAGAACCTGCAAAACATTCTGAGTTTGGGAAAGAGATTACCCCCCCGAGGGAAAGTGCTGTCCCCACCCTGGTAAGAAATGTATATAAAAAGGAATATCTGACTTCCCCTTGGATTTGTAGTGCTTTTAAATACTAGGGTGAAGATTAGAAGCTGGGCTATTTAAAGAACAGAAGCAATACATTTAACGCCATGCTTAATTCTGTGGCAAATCGTGACCTGAGGGAATATCTATGGAACAAAATTCCAAAGGGCCAAAACTCGTCCGCAGGGCCCCAGAAATATTATTTGCAAATTACTGAGGGTGAAAGCAAGTGCTCTAGCACTTATTGCAATTGGACTTTATTCCTACCAAGTTTCCTGTTGGCAGAGCTTCCAACTGGAGCTCTGAAGGGATCTGCCTCCTGCAAAGATAAATGCTATTATACAACATTTTATTCAGAGGTTTTAAATATTACTGCGTGCAACCAGCCATGGACATGCTGAACAGTCATTACTAGTGACAAGAAACTGAGCAAGCAATATACACCATGGCAAGCAAAAAACTGTTTGAAGATCCTGGCACTTTCCTGGATTTCAGATTACCAACCCCTTAGATGCAGCCTAAATGCAGCCATGTTGTAAATGAGCATTAAAATGTGGCTAGCACCGCTTGCTTTATTTGCAGCAACAAGGGACATCAAGGAGTCACGAAACCAGATGTCCATTGCTTATGCAAAACAGTTCGGGGGGGGGACCTGATCCCCAATCCATCCTTTTAGTTTTTTGGGAGGGTTGAAGCCTTACTGGAAAAAACACACACACCCCAAATCGTATGGATTTCTTTCACAGTAGTTTTTGCTACTCAAAATATTTCATAGCCATGGACCAAGAGGGGTTGTAGACAACGTTTACATATTCATATTCTTCATTTCAACAACAAAATTTACTTAGGTCTTTTTGGAGTCCTCTCTGATGAATCTCAATTTATGTTCAAATCGTTTCCAGAGCCAAATTTGCAAGCACTAAACAGGCAGTAAAAACAAAGGCAGTCACTTTAAAAAAACAAAACAAAAACAAACTTGAAATGGGTCCAGTGATTTTCCTGGCTTCCAAGTCAAGCCGTGAGGAAATGCTAAGTGTTGCAATTAAACTGAAATGACAAAAAAGGCAACTTACCAAGCGCTGCTGCAGCATTCACGGTTACTCTGATAAACCATGGGAAAACGTGGTTATAAGCCCTACTAGCATGCAGAAAAGCTGCAGAGCAGTGATGCTTGGCCCACCTTTATGCAGAATTGCCAAAGTTCACTGTTTATGTCTAAGAGAAACTGAAGTATACCTTACAATCACAGCTTCCTATGTTCTTATTTTTAAATGAAATGCAATGATTAAGAAAATGGAAATCTCAGAGCTGTATACTATCAGTTCTTGTCTGATAATCAGTGTACCACGCTAAAAATTCTAAGTCTGCCAAAATTCATTAACAAGCAACTCTACTGGCCTAACCTTAGGGCATAAAGTAACGCACACTTTTGTTTCTTTCCTCCAATGTAGCTGTTAAAAGTGTGTTATCAGTGCATATTATTCTGTGCGGAGATATAAGAAACTTTTTCAGAAAACAAGTGCCTGTAGGTTCATAAAAGCAGGAATAGCTATGCTCCTGTGTTAGACATTCGTTCGATTCCTTAAATGAACATTCTGAATTTAATCTTTCATCATATCCATTGAAGACAACCCAAATCTCTCTTGAAAAAGGATGGGGAGTGAGTTTGCGCCTCAACTTCGCCTAGGTGAACAAGCCTGCTGCTTGTTCTTTTAAACCTAGGCCTGTGCAGATTTTTGCCCTCTTGAATAACAACGTCTTGGGAAATACACACAAAATTTGTATTATCACCCTGATGCAAAGATACAATGCACATTTGAAGCAGCTTTGACTGTTAGGTTGTTTTCTGAAGCAAACTAATTCCTCCTTAAATTGTTGACCAAAAAAACAAACAAAAAACCCTAACTTTCTCCACTTGTTTTATTGCTCCAATTCCTAGTCTTTCTCATTACACATCAACAGTACAGAGAGGCTCACTGCCAGGTTGAGCAGACTCTACAATTGTCATCTTGGGTTTCTTTCGAGTTTCCTCCTAGAAATACAAGAAACCAACCATAATTATATGCATCCTTCATCCTCACTGGATGCCAATGTTTCAAAACGTCCCCTGAGCAGAACACTAGTGTTTACACTTGTTCCATGATATCCCAGTTGCTAGAAAAATGTTAAAACAGAAACAGGAGCATCTTTTTCTCAAAAACAAAGGTGTCCTAAAGGAAATGTTTCTATGGAACATGAACAAACTGGGTGGTAATGAAAGCGAGTCTGATTGCTTCCACTAGCATCAGAAATCTTTTAGTTAACATTCAGGTTGGAGAGCTTGGCTTGGATTTGTAAGGGAAGAAGAAAACTGGTGTTTTAAAGTAAGTGCATCTTAAAGAGAGAAAGAGGATGAGTTTTTCATCCCCTTCCTATGATTACAGTTTCATAGAACAGCAAAGGCCAGCCTTGCTATCACACTTTGTGAAAGCAGTAAGCGCTGTGAGATTCTCAGTGGTCCTAGAAAATAACAATCTTCTGCAAAACAGCTAACAAGAAAAGCTTTCCTTGAGGATTTTCTAAATATCTTAACGTTTTAAGAATGAGAAGAACAATGAACTAAATAGAACCATAAATCTCTTTTGTATGGACGATGCTGCAGGGGAGCGTGCAAAGCAACTACTCACCCTTTCTTGTGCCAATTTTCTCATTTCTTCCTGTAACTTGTTCAGAATGTGCAGATTTGGCTTGTTCTTTTTGGCATACTGCTGAAGCTCTATCACGCTTTTATCAGAAGTTTCCTACACAAAGGCGTTAAAATGAAATGAAACGTTCCCATAAGCACCTTCAGTTTTAACAGGTTCCTTTGAAATCCTACCTAAAAAAAATATATCTCTGAACTCAGTCTAAGCAACTAATCACAGAACTGGAGATCATTCTGCATCTTTCAACAGAATCTCCTTATTTAGTTTATTTGTAACATCTGTATAGCCACCCAATTCAACCAAGCTGGCCCTGCAAGGTGGGTCTCAATTGCGGTTGCTAGGTACTGCATCAATTCATAGCCCTCAGCTCCTTACGTTAATTCAAGCTTGAACAACGCTTGAGGGGCCAAGGCTGCAACCCAGCCTCTCAGCCTTCTGAAATACACTCAGAGGACATCTAGTGATGCTGCAATGTCATTGGAAGGGACACGGCTGCTTCCCGTTCCACCTTTAGATCCTGATCTCCCACCACATACATGCATCAACCCAACGGGGTTCTCAAGCTTTCACTTCTATCAGTTCATCTCAGGGAAATGGGGAGGAACCCTGAACTAGTGTCTGCAGTTAGTTTAAGCGAGGCAAAACCAACTTATTCCCGATAAGATAGAACTGCTACTGGTTGGGAAGACCACTGACATGAAAGCTGATGATTCATTTTACCCTGAAAGACAAGGTAGCAATGTATCCAAAATGTCAATTAGGAAAGAGACATGCTTGCACCGAGTTGAAAGTGACTTCTAATTTTTTCCGGTGGCCCATGCTGTTGGATGCTAAGGAGGTCAGAGCAGTGAATAACAAGTGCCACGGTTCTTAGGAGCTTAGGATAGGCCTTTCCCTCACTGAGCATGTCAACACTTCTACAGCAACAGGCCCCTTACCGGCCTTTACTGCATGAACAGATTTCAGTGGGGCAGTGTCAGTTTCAAGCAAAATTTGCTACTTCGCTATTTAAAGATGCAACGGCCACTGACAATTATAAGGAACAGGGTGCAACTTTTAACATTATCAATAGTACAGATCTTAAATAATCTGATAAGGTTCAACATATAAAATGCTTTACCTGCTTAACCATCTTACTGCTCTCTCTGCCATACATGCGCAATAGAGAACCCCAGTTTTTCACATGTGGGTGAAGCAGTTGAAGGATTTTCTGGGAAGCCAATTGTTTTCCAACTCTTTTGTTTTTACCTGCAAAATCACCACGAAGCGGAGTTTAAAAATCACACTCACATAGAAAACGTTTAGTAAATGGACACAGGATAGAGGAAAAACTATTGCCTCAAGGAATCATATTGTTAAAGAAGGTGGTTTCAGTCCTATGATGCAGAACGTTTTGTATGTTATTAGTAAGATTTGTAACTTTTTAGGGAGTGGTTACCAATTAAATTATCAACTTTGGTTCCTAATAATTATGAGTATACAGAAGGATATGGGAAGCACTAATCCTCCACAGCAGTTACTCAGCCAAAATTTTCTTCCTCATTACAAACATGTATTCAAAATATTACAAAACAGCAGTTCAATTTTTCATACAGATGTGCTGAGTTATCATGTATTCAAAATATTACAAAACAGCAGTTCAATTTTTCATACAGATGTGCTGAGTTATAAATACTTCTGTTCTTGATCGAAAACTATAACTAAAATGACAGTGTCTTGTGACTGAGAGATTAGTATATAGGAATGTTCTAACTGGTTAAACAAGAAAATCAGTACCAATAAGAACAGAGAAAAGGCGGGATATAAATCTAACAAATGAACAGATTTTCCACAGATC